TCAGAATCGGTATTCCACACTGAGTAGTCCAGATGACAATTCTGTAGATGGGTAATGCTCGGTGTGTCATGAGGCGTTCTTGGAGTTCGGCAGGATATCTTTTGTCTCAACGCTACTATGTTTACCGGCAAGCCCTATTATAATTAACTGCAAGGGTATGGAAGAACTCTGCCATGTGCCCCCAGAGCTCGGAAAACTTTGCCTACTACTTCAGGACGACTCAAGACCTACCGTTCTGAAAATGACACAGCTAGGGAACCTGAAGCCTGATTGGGAAATTATACCGGACCTGTCTCAGCAGCCATCTTCCGGGGAAGAAATGCGATTTTCAGAAGTACCCCAAAGATTGTCCTACTGCCTTTTTGGCACGGAACCAAAGAGCTTCCAGAATCGATTTAAATAAACTGTGTTCAAAAAAGATCTGAAAATATCAACTTTTGGGGCACCCTGATATGTGTAAGAGTTTCGAGGAGCAGATCATTTCAAGATGTTCCAGAGTAACCCCTACAGGGCCAGTTATTCACCAAAGAAGGATAGTAATCAGGAATGCTGTGGTGGAGCAGCATCGCTATTCCCGCATTTATGCTCCAAAACAAACTCTGAACTTGAAGAGCCGCTCTTTAGGCAAGTAAATCTGAACGATTTGGTCCTTAGTTTGAATAGGTAACCTCATGCTTGAGATCTCGATATATGTAGCCAATGAGCCCGCATCGCTTTTCCCTTAAAAAAGGAAAGGCTAGCCAGAGTGTTGCTGTTCTATCCTGGGTTTGTTTTTATTCAATTTCTGTCCGTCACATTGAGCCCATTCCATCTAGCCATTATTTTTGGATTGGCATTCCCAAGACAGTGGAGAGCACTTCTTTCAGTAGTGCTTTCCTCTCTCTCTTGGGGATGCCAATCCAAATTGAATTAAATTGAATTTTAGAAATAAATAAAATTTTGAAAAATATTACATTTTGTGGACATATATAATGAAGGAATATATCACTTACTTTTTAGAACAGTCTCTCTTGGACTACTTCGATCATTATCGACGTCTACAAGCAGTGCATATCTGAGCCTTCTTGCGGGTAGAGTCAAGTCGACCACCAGCAAAAACACCGTGTGAATAAAGCAACCAGAAATCCAGAGATCCAGTAGCGTCGCAGAGAGGTACGGTCGCGAGCTGACTAGCTGAAATAGTCATCATTTGATGGGTGAGACTTACCAGAGAACCACGAAATAAGCTGAGGGTGGAATACGAACCACAGAGCCTACAGTGGCCATGTCGCAATTCCTAGTGACCTACTGACCATACATGGGATGGGACTACACACTAAGGTCACACTCACTCATGGGCGGAGCCCGGCCTAGCATTATGCGCTCCTCGTTCTAGGAACATCTCGAAATGAAGACGTGCACCATTGAGAAAACAGCACTGTTAGGCCTGTCTCCGCCTGCACGACAACCACCTTCAGTAAAAGTGCCCCCCCCCCCTAAGGGAAACTGTGCCCAACTTTTTACTCAAGAAGTGAAATCGTTCGACTCACCAAGATTAGCATACACATTATTGCCGCCAACGAAACAAGAACCTGAAACATGTTTCCAATTCACTTCCTCATTGGAAGGAATTTTTCAGGTGTACCTGAACTTTTCGTCGTTTCCATTGCGCGAAAAATACCAGTGCCACAATTAGGAACGATGGCAGGAATACTGATAGCAAAGCGAAATCCCAGTCAGCCGAATACTTGAGCCGAAGAGCGGACTGAGGGAAAGAAGCTGAAGGAATGTTGCTTACCAAATGGAAAGATATACAAAATAGTCGGCTAATCTTGGAAGTACGTGGTCGTCTAATCGTGAAGGGCTCACCGAGCTCTGCTCCGACCCTCGTAGTTTGAGACTCGGGCCGAAGGTCCCGTATAGTTGTTATCGTAATCAACTCATCTATAAAGAAATCTTTCATTGAAGTACAAGGATCGTACGGTATCAAACTAACCGCCTGCACTTTCCATTGGAATTTCGCAACTGAAAGACTCGAACGGATACTTCCATTCGTTCGAGGTGCATGACACAATGTCCTTTACCCTGAAACCGCCGCTAACAAAAAGATTGGAGAGTTAGTCTTGAATTGCTGAGAGCGAGAAAATGCTACTATTATTTGTTTTAGTTATGTTGGTCATCTCACATAACATGTAAGTCCTACGATTTGTCAAGCAGGAACTTTGGCAGTAACAAATGGCACCTATTATACCCATGATCCCTGGCCAATTAAGCTTTTCATTTCAGCCCTTCAGCATCAGCACGTCAACGCACACACCGAATAAGATTTCGAATTATGCTACGACTCAGAACGGACAGCATATCTTGCAATTAGGACTACGCGTTGTCTTTTGACTACAAATAATCAGTACCCTTTGTGCTGAGTGGACTACTACAGCCACCTATTGGGTCGGCCCATAAGTAATGGCGTTTTTTTTCTCACTCAAATATCGCGCTGAAGAAGAAAAGTTTTGCTATTGAGTTTCATACCGTTTGGCAGAGAATTCCTTGCCCTACACGACAGTATTCTTAGTTTTCTTCAAGTTTCTCTTTCCACTAATATTTTAGTGATAAAAATGGAGTGTCAGGTTGACGAAATTGAGCATTTTCGACAGCCTCTCTTTTATGCCTCTAATTAAAAAGCTAAAACCGCATGGGTCCAGCTGGTAAGTATATGGCTGAAAGGCTACGTCTCTTAGGAATACTAATACTTTAATTGGAAGATTTCAGTTTCGACCTCACAGACAAGCATCGAACCTAATGCCCTATTCTGTCCAACTGAAAGCTTACAGTTGGACAGAATAGGGCATTAGGAAGCTTAAGGAATTACATTATTAACTGAGAATCATGCCAGAGATTGAGGAATCGTTAGAGGTCTTAGAATACTTCCTTATCATTATCAAGCATCACCTTCACTTGAGTGGAGAAGTTCAAAACTTAGTGGATGGGTTCCGCAAGCAAGATGGCCCCCACGCGATGCTCTTTTACAAGGTCCGAATTCCCACCACTTGATAGCTTGAACCAACTTCAAGCTGTCATAAGACGCATCTTTCTTTGGTCATATATACCACAAGGTTTGAGCTTCTTCTGTAGATTGAGAGCCGAGATAACAATTCAAAAAGTAGTTGTCGAAAACTCACTTTTGGGTCGACCCGAATTTTCCATTTAATGAAATAAAAATCGGCGGAAATCATGAAATAGTAGGGAGTAACCATACTATCTTATAGAGCAGGAAATTATCTATCAAACAGTGTAGAACATATTGGGAACAATTGTCGTTTTTCATATAAAAACTTGTGTGACAAAAAAACGCCATTACTTATGGGCCAACCCAATACTTTGCAATTTTATCAGAGATATAGACTTGTCTCCAGCTTACGGCTCGTATTTCCTGCCCGTATGCTTCCTATCTAGTCATGACCAGATTTTCTCATTTTCGTGAATCCCCAGGCAGGAAGTTGTGTAGGATACAGGTGGTGGCGCCTCGCCACACACGCGGTCCTGGGTCTACATTTCGAGTT